TCCTTTTTGTCTTATAAAAGGCTTAGCATTGTTTCATAAGGCCCCTGAGTGAAGTAGTTAAGATGAAAGGTAAACATTCCATTCACGCCTTAGCAAATCTTTTCCACTTGAGTCCGTGGAACAAAGCCCGTGACACCGTGACCTGTAGAAAGACGAGACCTCATAGGCCATTTATGATCCATTTGTTGGGTTCAGTGGACACAGACGGAAGACGTGATTGCAGACCCTGTCCCCACATTGCACCATAGCCACAACCTCAAGGGAGAGCCCTGTGTGGCCTGGCCGCTCCCTGGCCTCTCCCTGGCCTCGGGTGGGGGCGGAGGCACTTGCAGCGTTAGTCATCCCTCCGACTGCTCCCCATCTTCAGCGCCCGTTCAACAGGTGGCAGTAGGCGGGGAGTCGGGGTTCAGTGAGCCAGCTCAGCCAGCGGGGATGCGGGGCAGGGGCCACGCCCTGGCGCCAGGGCTGTCTCCTTTCCGGTCCAGCTGGTCTCAGAGTCAGGACCCCCTGCTTTCCATCCCCCCAAGCTTGCTACTGTGGATGTGGCCCTTCCTTCTCCATGACTCGGTTACTCCGAAGTCCTGCTCGTTAAAAGGCAGAGGAAGTTGTAGCAGAGAAGGTGCTGGCCAAGTGTTTGCTCGACTGCTTTTATCTTGCTCAGTAAAACCAACAGCCAGACCATCTGAGTCAGGTGAGGTGACCAGCCCTAGTCTTATTTTGATTTCATTGCTCAAAGTGAGATGTTGACAAGCAGAACTTCAGGATGCTCCCGGCATAACCGCACCTTGAGCGGGTGTTTTCTGAAGGTAAGGATGCTAAGGATTCGCGCGGAGCCCGCTGGAAAGAACTGAGGCATGCCATTAAAAAAGTATGTTCCGAGCCAGTGTTTTTCCAATTTAAGATTTATTCGTGGGCCTATTAACTCGCTTACAGAAATTTAAAACCTGGCTTTCACTTAGATGGTAATCTTTAAAAGGTGAATATAAGCATATTCTGGAGTCGGAAGAGTGAACCTACTGTGTGCTTGGGTTTAGGGTCTCCTTTGATCGTCTCCGGGTAATGGGACATGAACAGAGACAGACTTAAATATGATCTGTTTCATCCAGATGTGGTCAAATGGTATTAACCATGTACTGTGTGATCAGAGATTCATCACAGTCTGATTTTTTAGAGAAGAGATGACTCCACGGGTTCGCTGCGGGGTGTGGTAGGTGAGCCAAGCCGAACGCAGAAGATCCTGCACTCTGACCGGACCCATTCTGCGGCGGCAATTTAATTTCAACAAAACAACAGTATTCTGAATATTGAATTAATGGTTTTTTTGGCCTTAGTTTATTATTTAATTTTGCAGTTTTGACTATAATTTGTAAGTCGGATTTGGTTTTGTGGTTGAAGATTACGTTTAGTTTTAAATTCACACATACCTCAGGAATATTGTAACAAAATATTTGCCAACACTGGGAGGTGCCAAAGAAACTTCTCCGTTACAGGGGTCCGGACATTTCTCAAGTTTTGACACACATTCTGCTAAATAAACCGATCTGATGACAAACAACGGTCTCCTTTGCTCCTTAGAGCGTTTGGTCTGGTGGTTCTCACCCTGACCACCCTGCAGGATGGACTGAGGAGCTTTAAAAAAAATCCCCACCCTCCCTGGATGGAGAAAGATACACCTGGGACCCAGGAGATGGCGGTTTGATTCCCGGTCAGGGCACATGCCCGGGTTGCGGGCTCGATCCCCGGTGGGGGCGTGCAGGAGGCAGCCGGTCAATGACTCTCATCACTGATGTTTCTAAAATCTCTCTCTCCCTCTCCCTCCTCTCTCTGAAATCAATAAAGACATATATATATATATATATATATATATATATATATATATATATACACACACACACAGATAGATATAAATATAGATATAAAAAAAAAGGCACAAAGTTATTATATTACAGACCTGCAAGCCCTCTGGTTCAGAAATCCAAACTGGGACTCACTAGCATGGAAGCACCTTGGTATGAAGTAGGCAGTGATCTGAGCCAGGGGACCTGCTGGCAGCCGGTCGGACTCCTCAGGGAGGCCCGTACCCGCAGGGTGGAGATGCCCCCCCAAGCCTTCTCCGTGGCCTCAAATTAGAATTTATTTTTCTGGTTATACAGGGTGGGGCAAAATTAGGTTTACAGTTGTATGTGAAACACAGAGTTTATTCTGTGTTATTCATTATTGTTTTCCATATGAACCACTATAAACCTGCTTTTGCCCCACCCTGTATGTTTGTAACATTAACTCTCTTACTGTTTGAAATGGTAATAAAGCACGTTATGTGTAATGCAGCTGGTATAAATTTCTGTATAAAGCGTTGTGCTGGTTTGTGGATTTGGGAGAGTCTCATAGTCCTTTTGAAGCTTAACGTCATCAGGGCTGCAGTTATAATACAGGATATCCAGCTGATTGTGAATTTCAGGTAAACAAATGAATACTATTTTTAGTATAAGTATGCCCCAGATATTGGAAGGGACATAAACTAAAAAGTTCTTTGTTGTTTATCTGAAATTACAGGCGGGGCACAGGGATGACATCTGCATGTTGATGTGGTAGAAATCACTTAGAAGGTTTCAAAGAGGGAATGATAGACTTTTATACTAAAAAATTCATAATCATCTTTTTCTGTGAGTAAAATGACAGAGTATTCAAAGCATTACACAACAAAAAATATTTTTAGTATAAACATGTCCCATGCAATATTTGGCACACAGTTAAACTAAAACAATACTTACTTGAAATTCAAATTTAATTCCAATTTAACTGGGCATCCTGTGTTTTCATTGGCTAAATCCAGCAACTCTGCACACAGCCGGCATGTTTCCTCCTGACAGCCATTTAGGAGTCGTTTTCTAAATACCAGCTAGTGGAGAATCTCAGCAGGGGACTTGTCCCCCCTAGTGGCGAATCTGGCTAATGTATTCCCTTCAATGCCCCCTTATTAACCGCTTGCCAAGAGCCAGTTGCAGAGAGAAAAGAGGCCTTGCTTTCGGGGAGCTCGCCACCTAGCGGGTGCGTGTGGGCAAAGGCCACAAAGCCTCCCCGAGGGAGTGTGCCAGACCAGCGCTCACGGGCGCTGGGCACGAACGCTTCCACGTGTGTCCACGTGGAGGCCTTTAGGGCAGGTTTCGGGGTGGACGGTGTATTTTATCCTATAAAATTCATGATCATGTTTTTGTAAGTAAAACTCCAGAGGACTGAAGCGTTATAAAAACTGGGAACAGTCTCACCTCTCTACCAGCGGGAGAGGAAGCTGCTCTACGCCCCCGCGCCCCTTCCCCTCCCCTCCCTCCCGTGGACCCGGGGTGTCTGCGGGACGGGCAGGGCCGGGAGAGCGGCTGGGAGGGGAAACGCTTCATTCGCACCGGCTTTTGAGAGGAACAGTTTTCCTCCTTCCCCCTTCTCGACCCCCCTTTTCTTTCGAAGCAGAGTACCTGCCCCGCCGCCTTCCCCCGTCGCCTGCGGCCCCTCTTGGTCCCCAGGGTGCTGTGCTGACCGCGAGCTGCGGGCCCGGCCCAAGGGTGGGAAACTGCGGCGGCTGCGAGACCCCGAATGGCCTCTCCCTCTCCCCCAGGCCGGGTGCGCAGTGTTCCCATTTCCCCCGCAATAAAAACACCCCGCCACCAACGTCCACGCGCATCTGCACCCGGGAAGAGGGAGGGAGGACCACGGCCCGTTCCGGGCACCTGGCACCGCTGGTCAGGAGCAGGGCGTTTCTTGGGCTTCAGAGATGAACTTATTAAATATTTGCCTCCCTGTCCAGTTTGGAATAAAAGCTGAGAAAGCTCATTGAAAACACTAACAGGGAAGGGCCCCCAGCCGAATGCCCATCGTGTTCAGCCTCCGACTCAAGTCTAGATGGTGGAGATGGGCTCTCACGTGGGTGGGGCCGGGGCCTCCTTCGAAGAGCCGGCTCTGGGAGGGCATGTTTGCAACGGAAAGCAGCCGAGTTCCTGGCACCGAGCAGGCACCGCACCCACCTCGCAGGCCTGCGCTCCGCCGAGCCCACCGAGCCCGCGGGGGGACGGCAGCTGGGCCCCTTGCCCAGGGCGAGGCGGGCTCCCTTGGGACGTGTGGCGCTGGGCCTCGGGGTGTTAGGCTCAGGCTTCAGCCCCTCTACTGTGAAAACCTTGGGAAGGTCCCAGTTGCAGCACCTTTGGTGACTAAAAGTTTATTAAATTCAAGCACAACAAAATCGAAGACTTTTGCCCCAGTTTTATTATATAAAACTATTTACACCAACAGGGTTTAAGGCAAAAAAAAAAAAAAAAAATTACTGATACAGATTTTTGTATAGAAACCCTGAAAACATTGATATGTCCTTCCTTCCACAACTCAGTAGACACAGACATTGTCAGAGACCTGCAGTGGCTTCAGATCTTCTACTTCCTTCACTCAACCACTTTCCTGCAGACCGTCCATGTGCAGGCCCTGCACTCGGAGCACCGGTCTCATGGGGCAGACAGACGCCAGACAAAGCAAACGCACGACACACCAGGCAGTCGGGTTACGGGGATGGGGGGTAGGTGGGCATGTCTCCAAGTTCTCCAGAGCTCCCGGGCACTGCTGTCGAGGCCACGCAGCTGAGGAAAGAGGCAGCTCTAGGTTGTATTTTTAAAATTTTTTGTAGGTCTGGCCAGATGCTGAAGTTTTGAACAGCACTGCTGACTTCTAACTGGATCTATACCTAAGCTTCCTGGCCCTGCAGTGGACCTGGGCCCCCCTGGATGGGCATGCACACGTGGGTGTGAGGGTGAACACGTGGGCTTAAGTGTGCACGGTGCGTTCACAGAGCTGTGCCACCATTTACACACATTAACCTACATTACGTGCCAACACAGCGTTAGTTGTGGCTACGACGACATAAACCTTCCACATAAATCCCTGGATTCCAGCCTCTCCCAGAACTCTCAACATTGCGATTTTGAGGCAGGTGACTGTGCTCCTACGCGCAGGGTGCTTCGGGAGAAACCCGCCAGCTTGCAGCAAGCACCGGGCCAAGCTGGCGCGGGCGGGGGAGGGGGGGGCGCTGCAGTGGCCCGTCCGAAGGCAGGCAGACGCCAGGGGACGCTGTCTGCTGGTGCCACCCAGGCGCCTGTGTCTCGAGAACTGCGGAGGGTCTTTAACTTGAAGCCAAGCTCCCACGCGTCTTAGGGACCTAACCGCACTGGGGTCTTAACTGTGATGTTGAGGCTTCCTTCTTTTGAGGGATGTGCTCTGAAGCAGCTTTCTGGTAAGCCCAGCGCCTGCGTGCTAGACAGGCCTCTGGCCTGGGGCACCACGGATGCCCGTGGTGATGGGGTCATGCATGTTCCCAACCTCCACCCTACAGAGGCCACTAAACGTCTCTGGTCAGAGATCAAAAGGTGAGCGTTCGGGTCACTGTGGGGATTCCCCAGCAGGGAACTCTCAGAGGGGGTCCCCGCCTCCCTCGTCCTGACACCTGCAGAAGCTTGGACTGAGGAGCGGCAGATGTGCCAAGGTCGTGGGGAGAGTCACGGCCCTGCCCGGGGGGAGCTGCTACCTGGGAAGACTCCTGGGTAAGAAGACTGGCCCTAAGTCGTGCACACGCCCCAGCAGGCTCTAGGCAGCTTTATCTCCTTTGCCTGGTCCCTGCTGCCGCTGGTGACATTGACAATTTTGCCCTAGAATTTCCAGACTCTCTTCCTATGAAAGATCTCCATGAATACTCCCAAATGTCAAGCGTTATAACGATAAGCTGTAGGTGCCTTTTAAAAGCATTACATAATTTTTACAATAGATGTTCCTCCCAGTTACATTTTCCCCTCTCCTGGATATTAAACAACTGGCACTGTACCTAGTATGTGCTGGCGGAGAGGGAGGGACAGTGCAGAGAAGCTGGCCTGGCACCAAGCGACACGGAGCAGCCATGAAGCAAACAGCCCCGCAGTGTGTCAGGAAGAGCAGTTTTCACTGCGGTCCCCTGCGTCCTTCCTTCTGAATTACTCCACTTGTTACCAGCAGAGTCTCCTGGTCCCAAGGCTCCTTCATACGCTGTTCCTAAACTCTACATGCTCCCCTACCTTAAAAACTCTGAGCAGCTTCTCTAATTAGTTTCCCTTTTCTCTATAACCTTAGTGATTGCAAATTCTCATCAGCAGCTACTGTTCTAATGAGGTGTGAATCAGGAACTCACACTGCTTCGTAAAGATCACCTGGTTTTAAACCCGAACCGTGTAAGGACAGGCAACCGTGATGCAGAAGCCGGCATTCCTCGGGTGAATGGACAGAATCCTCTGAAAAATTTCAGTATCACATTTCTGGCATCTGTGGATATTCTCTAAAAAACTTTTTAAAGTTGATTTTTAGAGAGAGAGGAAGGGACAGGGAGAGAGAGAAACATCCACGTGAGAGCGAAACATCGATCGGCTGCCTCCCGCACGCCCCCCACTGGGGATCAAGCCCGACTGGGGCACGTGGCCTGACTGTGGATCACACCAGTGACCTTCGGGCACAGGACAAAGCTCCAACCCACTGAGCCAGCGGCCGGGCAGGGTGTTCTCTAGAGTAAGCTATTCTTTCAGAGGACTTCCCCGTGGCAGTGCTATTCGGCTTCTCTAAAGAACTGTCCTAGGGTCTGCTTCAGCATCAGAAGAAACGACCAAAGGTCCTGACCATCTCCTGAAAAATACGGCCCTGTCTCTGGGACTGGAGAACGAGTCACACACACAGCACCGTGCAGCTGGAACGGACAGGAGCCCAGGCCGCCCCGAGCTCTCGCCACAGGGACGGCCCCTGGGCCGGGCCCAGCGACTGGCCGTTCAGGACATGGCAATGGGGAGGCGCGGGAGGGCTGTCCTGGTCCCCGGAACTTCCTTCGTAAACAGGTGAAGTGCTCGCCCGTCCTCTTGGGGCCTGCGACCCGAGGGTGTTTCTTCTTTTCCAACAAGGGAGCATCCCGCGGGCGTCGCCGGGAGCAGCAGCGGCTCAGCTCGCAGTGCGTCGCGCGGCACTCAGAGCGCATCGGTCACCGTTTCCCGCCGCCCCAGCTCCTCGCTCGCGTGACTGCCGCTGTTCTCATCTTCATTGGAGTAGTTTCCCGAGTCCTGGCTAGTCTGGGAATTGTATATTTTGGGATCTTCACTGACTCGACTGGCTTCTCCTATAGAGACAATGTCTACATTTTCGATTATAAAACATTTTTCAACTTGTTCCACAGAAGTGGAAAGCAGTAGATTCTTCAGTGGCTCTTCAGGGAAATACTAATTTAAAAAAAGAAAAGAATATAAACAAATTACCTAAAATAATAGAAATCACTTTTCCAGTTCTAACAGCTTTAGTTTCATATTAGAAAGTCCGCTGAGAGCATGACCATGCTCAGAATAAAACCCTCGTTAGTGAGGCCACACGTATCTGGTATTGTTTTTGGTAGGTGTACAAAGGGGACCCAAGAAAGACGGGAGGTGCTACGGGGGCAGAGGCCGGAGAGGCCGGCCAGCCAGAGCCCTGGGACTGTGGACATTTCATTGTGAAATAATAGAAACTTTATATCCAACCCACAAAGATCCAGAAGCACAAATGATAAATTTTCCCTGTTCAACTAGGAATAGCTGTCACCAGCTGGTTTAAGTTCTTTAAATACCAGCTGTGAGTCTTAGAGTATATAGGGTGACGTTAAAAACTGAGGGACGTAAAGAGCGAAACAGGAACCAGGGGCCCGGCCTCTCCGGTTATCTCTGCCGCTCACGGCTTCGTGGGAGGAACTACTGGGCCCCCTTGCAGCCGGGAGGGGCGCCGAGCTCACAGGGCTGCAAGTGCAAACGCACCCCAGCTCGGCGCGGTTCACCTGCCGTCTCTCCGGCTCCAGAGCCTGAGCTCTGACTGTCCTCTCGGAGCAGGCCCCCGGGCAGTCTAGGCTCCCGTCTTCGCCCTTTCGTGCGTTCATCAAATACCCTGACCTCACAGGAGCGTCCAAAACCCCGAACTGAGAGGGGCCGGGGAAGGACACTCCTGTTTTGCTATTTCGCTTTCCGTGAGGCCATCCACAGCACCCCGTGGAAGACAGTTTCTGCTCTGACGACAGCTTTTACTCTCCGTGAACACGCAGACTTCTGAAACAGATGCTGCGGCGGCTGGACGGCCAGGAAACAGGCTGAGTACAAGCCTCACTCTTCCACGTTACCTCCCGTTCAACAGCCGCCCCGGAGTTAACTTACGGGAACTTGAAGGGAAGCACCTAAGTCCGTCTGTATTAGAATTTTCTAAATAGCAAAAAATGTGACTATTCTCTTGAAATCAAATATAGTTCCCATTCGTTTTAAGGGAAACCCAGCTGTAGGCAAAGAAAAGGCACTGACCTCGTCGATGGTGGCAGGAGGTTTACTGGACGGGAAGAACACGTAGTTGACCAGTCTCATGAGGAGGGTCACAGTGTAAACGACAAGAGGGACAGCGAGCACGGCGCCAATCACGGCTACCAGCCAGGTTCTGGGAGCATTTCCTGAAAACAAATACATGAGGCCTAGCGTCAAGTCACGTTCCGACACAAACGAGTCCAAAGCACCGAGAGTTTGTATAAAAGAAATACAGCCGCGTGAAGGAACCTATTAAGTGATAAAAAAGCCTATTAAATAATATCCTCAGAAGCATCTCTGGTGGCACTGAGCCACAGCAGCCGTTGGGAATGGCGTTTGTCAGAGGCCCTGGTGATGGGTACAGTGTGACAAAGGTCCCCACAAGCTGTGTCGCTATGTGGCCGGCACAGGGACAGACGCTGGTAACAAGGCACCTACAGGCTTATGCCAGAAATGAAAACCCAGACAGACTAAGCTATTCCCACGAAAAACCCAGTTTGCAGCAGAACTAACTGATTTCCACAGCACAACTATATTAAGGAGCATGGGAAAAATTTTATTTTATTTTTTTTAATATATCTGTATTGATTTCAGAGAGAGGAAGAGAGAGAGAGAGAGAGAAACATCAACGATGAGAGTCACTGATCGGCTGCCTCCTGCACGCCAACTGGGGATCGAGCCCGCAACCCGGGCCTGTGCCCTGACCGGGAATCGAACCCCGATCTCCTGGGTCCCAGGTCGACGCTCAACCGCTGAGCCACGCCCGGCCGGGCGGAAAAAATTTTAAAGTCTCATTTAAGGCTAAAGGGTAATAATTACAGGACATTAATTACGTGGCTACTGGGTGGAATATAAAGCATTCGAAACACAGTGACCTGGAGTGTCAGGTGTTTTCTAAAACTGAGAGCCTGAGCTCGGAGGTCGCTTTTAACTCGGGGGGGTTCACGAAGAGCATCGTCTCCGCGTCTGTCTGCAGGGAGAATGGGGCCCTGGGCGGTTTCGATGAACTGAGCTGTTTTTAAACACATGCGGGACGGCTGCTGACCTGGGCCCGTCTCCTCGCACACGGGGCTGCTGAATACGCTGCGCCTGCTCCACGCGCTGTCCTCCAGGAGCGCTCGGGCCTTCACGCAGTACACGGTCAGCAGCTTCAGGTGCGGAATCAGGAAGTCGGCTCCGTTCTCTGTAATTGTCCTCTGGGAAATGCAAGTACACCACCGATCAGCACTCGCGGAATCGGACGGGGGAGTCCGCTTTCTGAATTCCGTAGAACATTCAGCCTGAGGTTAGCCCCCAAGCCCAGCCGCTGGAGGCTTAGGAAACGTAAGTTCGTCTTGGACAGCGCATTACAGCCAAGTCAGAAGTTAAAGACGCTGCGGCCAAAAAGCATCACGACTGTTTTAAGGCAGCTCTGCCCCATCTCAGTGAGCACACGCGGGTCTGGTTTCGCTGCCGCTGCGTTACCCCTGCTCAGTGGCAGAAACGGCGCAGGGCAGGGGCTCTGGCCTCAGCCCGCCTGTGTTTAGTCACGTGCGGCTCTGCGGCCTTTTCCGGGCCTGCGTCAGATGGGTTACCGTGAGGGCAGTTGCCGCTCCCGTCTGTAGCTGCCAGGCCCTGCCACCGCAGTGTGTTCCGAGACAGAACAGCGGGCAGTGCCACAGACCCCCCGGCCCCCACACATCCCCCTCCTCACCCGCGTGGGTCCCGTCTGGCCGCGGGTGTCCCGGCGGGGCTGTGGCTCAGGGTCAGGTCCGCGCTCGCGCTCCCTGCACCAGAGCCCCGTGGAGCGGGCACTCCTTGGGCGGGCGGGAGACGCAGAGCCACGCTAAGCCAGGCGCACCTCACATCCACACACACGCCACTGTCCGAAGCCCAGCCAGAGACATAGCGGCAAAAGCTCCATCCCAAGTACTTGCCGGACAGTAATTTAATCGATCGTACTGTCTGGCGGGGTTGTTTTGAAGAATGATTGAGATAGTTCATATAAATTTCTCTTAGCACATAACTGATATATAATAAGTTTTCACTAAATATGAGCTGCTGTTAGTATTGTAATTATTGATGAATTACCCAGCACAGGGTAGAATGGTAACTAAAAGCTACTGAATCTCTACCACTTGTCAAGCAACGTGCTAGGCATTATTTCATATTGCCTCATTTTAAATCTTATAAACACCCTCCCATAAACCTAACGACTATGACAACCCCACCTCGGAGAGGAGGAAAGAGTCTCTGGGAGGTAACACACCTCTCCAAAGGCCAGACGATTTGGTCGCTTGAAACACAAATTTAGGGACAACTGAGAACTGACCATAATCTTTACTGGGCTAAATTATGCTATGGTTAGTGTGTTCAGGCAGTTAAAATGAAAGCAGCCACGTAATTAGAATTTTCTTAGATTTCCAACAGAAAATGAAGTTAAAGAATTTACCAACACAATGGCATTAACATTTTTAAAGGTTGAGTCGTTGCTTGTAATTCCACAGGAAAAAGCGACCCAGGGATAATGTGGATTGCCTGATGTGGATGATCTCTGCCAGTGTTTTTGAATTTCAGTGTTTAAGCCAGTGCTTGTGAACCCCTTTTCAATACTGCCCTCACAAAGAGCCTTTTCAGATGATGTTTTCTGGCCCATCCCCATGCTGGAGCTGAACAGGGAGGGCTGAGACTCTGTGGGGAGCACACCTTTCCTCCGGAGGCCACACACCATTGTCAGAGCTCAGATTCTTCTGGCCCCTAACAACCAGTTTTTGCCCCTTTGAGGTGCCCGGCCCCAGGGGGTGTCTGGCATGTCTGGAGGTATTCTCGGTCGGCACACCGGGATGGAGCTCTGGTACCCAGAGGGTAGAGGCGGAGACGTTGCCGAGCATCCCACGAGGTGGAGGACAGCTCCCGCAACAGAGGTCCAATCCACAGTAACAGTGCCGAGAAACAGCGGCTTAGGTGGCTACAGGAAATCATGTTAAAAACGCAAATTCCTGCCCTGGCCGGCCGGGCAGCTCAGTTGGTTAGAGCGTCATTCCACTGTGACAAGGTTGTGAGTTCGATCTCTGGTCAGGGCACACAGAAGAATGAATCCATGTTTCTCTCTCTCTCTTCCTCTCTCTCCAAAACAATTAAAATAACAAAACAAACTGGAATTCCTGAGTTCTACCCGCAGAGATTCTGACTGAGCAGGAATGGGCTCAGGGCTCTGAATTTTGAAAACCACCTGGGCCCCGATGCAGGTGAATTATAACTGCCGTGCAAAACATGGAAAAATGCCAATGTTTTTCATATTGTAAACACATAAATTAATCACAGTCTTTATTTTTTTACTTTGAGAGGACTTTTATTAAAGCTGGGGACAGTGAAACAGGGAGGGCCTAGGATAGAAGCAGCGACGGGAAGGCCGAGGCAGGGCGGCTCTGGCCCTCTAGAAACGTTACAGGAAAGACACGAGCCGAGGAGGGGCTGCTATCGGCGCACGGGGAAGCCTGACTTTTCTCTAAAAGGCGCCTAGGGGACGGTCGGGGGTCTGCAGGTCTCGAGGGGCCCCTAGGGGGTCGGGAGATGCGCCTGTGGGGAAGGAGACGAAGGCAATGGCACGGGCGTGCTTTTGGGGGGACGGCGTGTCCACCTCGTCTTAAAGTCTACAAGTTTTCCAGCTTTTTTTTTTTTTTAACCCAATTATAACTCTAAATTAGAAAATTACACTGGTCTTTTTACCTCCACATCTGACGTGTTTTCCCAAAAACTAACTTCGTAAGTCAGCGGGTAGTGCTGGAAGGCGGACCGGTCCTGGGCGCCCAGGTGGACGCGCAGCGCGTTGCCGCCCGCGGGCTTCAGGGTCACGACCGGAGGGGGGATGACAGCTAGAAAGACGCGCAGAGGCAGGGCGTTAACTCAGACAGGGACGGGGGCGGCTCCGCGCCAGGCTGAGGGCCACGACCTCAAGTGAAAACGGCCGGCTTACTTAGCCTTTCAACGTCAAATTTCTCCTCCTCAGACCAGTAGGACGTGCTGTTTCCACGGGACGCTCGCACGCGGACGAAGTAAATTCCTTTCGAGTGAAGACTTCGCGGGAGAACACACTGGGTCCTTGTCACATGTTCACAGTCCTGTATTTGTGCCCATTTTTCTGAATAGCTACCAGGTATCTTTTTTAAATAGGCACTTTTAACACCAAAAAAAAAAAAAAAAAAAAAAAAAAGTTTTACTTTTAAAATTCCAAACACATTGATTTAATAAACATTTTTATTGAGTCCCTGTAACAGGCCAGACATTCTGTTAGGGGCTAGGCTGTGAAGATAAACAGCCCCCCCGGGAAATGGCACTACGTGGGCAAGAGCTTGTCCCCACGGGAGATGCAGGTGGTGTGCGGAGCTGGCTCGGACCTGTGCTGGAACAACTGCAATTTCCAGGGATGCTGCGAGCCAGCTGCTAAACATGGCTGTCGTTAAAAATTAAATTCTATAAACTTGAAATAAATAAATTGTATAAAAAAGGACAGTAACAAATACTCAAAACTCAGCTTGTCTTATTTTACTTATTGCAGGCAGATGTGGGAATACTGCGCCATGGGAGCCATCGGGCATCCCTTCCCGAGTCCACGCTCAGGGACGTCACGTTAGGCGACAGTGGCCGTGGTGGGAGCGTGTGGACCATGAAGACTCGCAAACACCACCAACACGGCCTCCTGACAGGAGGCACTGAAAGACAGCAGACGGTGTTTTTAAGCTGCTGAGTTTGTGGCAGTTTGTTATAGAGCAAGAGAAAACTAACCCCTCTCCTTACCCCACCTCATCTCCCGTGGCTTCAATCCGAGCTCCCCCAGGGCTGCAGCCCTGCCCAGGGTGCCCTCCTCTGTCCACTCCACGCATCTGAGTCTCCCACCCTGCAGGCCAGGCTGTGCCCCTACTTGACTAGTCTCCGCTCAACCACCCACAACACCGTTCTTCCCAGCTTCCTTCAATTCCCACTGGAGTAATCGCCAAGAGGTTTGCCAAAACCACTGAAATGATAAAGGAAACGGGGAGCCACCTTGAGCGGACCGGCCACAGGGCCTGGGCTGAGGTCATTTCAAGCCTCACAGAGAAACGAGCTCTGAGGGAAGGTCAGGGTCTGAGCCCAGCATTCCAGCCGAGGAGATAACACCCGAAACCAGAATCACGGCTCTTCTTCAAGAAGAAGAACCGGTAAGGACACTACATGTCATCAGAACACCCCCGCCTTACAACAGGTGAAGACACGGAGGCCCGGAGAGGTTACGGGACCAGCTCTGTGTCATCGGCTGTCCCAGCAGAGCCGGAGCTGGAGTGAAATGCCCCGTTTCCAACAATCGAGGCTGCTCTCACGGGCCGGCAGGCGCCACAGCAGGGGAAAGCAGCCCGAGGCCCTGGCCGCTAAATACACTGTGCGCGGGGAACAGACACACGGGACAGAACTCACCTCAGCAACTGGGCTTGGAAAGTCACGTCTTCGCGTGTGTAATCCCACGTAAGGACAAAGTCCTGACCTTTCAAAGCGACTTGCACGTTTTCTGGAGAAGGCAGTTTATTTTCAACTGGAAGACAGAACACACAAAAAAGCATACGTATTACTCTCGTGAGGCAAGACTGTGGCAAGAATGCTTAGCTGCACTGGCAAGACCAAGGCCACGCTGTGGCGATGTGGCTCAGCCAGCCACGCTGCATCCACGTGTGCAGGGTGCCACGCGATGCAGCCACTTGGAACACAGGAGACCCAGGTGCACATGCTGACATGCGAGGTCCTCCACACGACGGCGGAAATGAAGGGCTACAAACGCTATCTAGCAGGATCCTATTTTTAGAATTGAAAACACCAAACAGGACAAAGGCAAGTCTGTGTTCACGCGGATACGAGCCCAGCAACGCTGCTCTCCGACGAACGGAATCGGGGAAGGAGGCAGGAGAGAAAAACCTCCCTTCATACCCTTCCCAATGGTTTAACTTAGTAAACAAAGCATATTTCCCTGGCTGGTGTGGCTCAGTGGTTAGAGCGGACTGAAGGGTCCTGGGTTGGATTCTGGCCAAGGGCATGTACCTCAGTTGCAGGCTTTCCTAGGCCCTGGTCGGGGTGCATGCAGGAGGCAACCAATCGACGTGTCTCCCTTATGTCGGTGTCCCTCCCTCCCTCTCTCTCTGAAAAGCAACAGAAAGAACATCCTCAGGTGAAGGTTAAAAAGCAAAAAAAGCCACAACAAAAATAAACAAAGTATGCTACTATAATTAAGATAAACACACCTAAGCTCCTACCCTTGATATCATGGGCAAGATGTGACTGATTAAATAAACCCACCGGATGTTTTCATGTTTCAACACTTCACCTATAAAGGTATAGTTTTTGGAAGACTGTTCTTCCAGCAACGACCTCCCCCCTTTTTGTGGATTCTGAACAGCTTTTTTGCTTACGTAAGTGCTTTCGTTTTAGTATCGACTAAACCATCACATAAACTTCGGCGACTATGGGAAAACGCCACAGTGAACAGATCGCCAGGGGCGTGCTCAGGTGTGGCCTCTGGACACACCCCCACCTGTGGTGTTCACGCAGTGCACGGGGCTGAAGGTCGCCGCGTTCCTCTGCAGGGGCAGGCCCGCCTTAACTTTCGCACAGTACGTCGTCTCTGGTGAGAGTCTGTAGATTTTAAAACTGGGATAAACAGTTTCATTCCTCATCTGTAATAAAAAACAGAAGTCTGCTCTTTAGAGGGGCACACAGCCATGTTTCAGGATTAACGCGTGTCATTTTCTTCCCACGTCAAACACAGACGAAGACCACGCTCACCTGCACCCCTGACGGGCTCCTCCAGCTGACCACGCTGTACACAAAGCTCAGAACGTCCTGTTCCCACATGATGCTGTCTTTTGCTCCGGGAGGAGAGATGTTTATTATTATTGCCTTGTCTTCAGCTTCTAAATGGACTTTTGGAGGACCAATCTGAGCTGTGAAAATCAAAACATCTACTGTGTATCTTCACTAACACAATGCCACACACTCCACAAATAATTCTGACTGCTCAGCCTGTGCCTGACAGGGTGAGACGGACCATCCCTCGTGAGATCACTCTCCTGGGGGGCACGGCAGGCCCTCTGCAAACATACACGTGTGTGTCAGGCGTGCTACGAGGAAACATGAAGTTCATGAAGGGCCAGAGAATGAGCGAGAGCTGTTTGAGCGAAGTCAGTCAGGGAAGCCTCGAGACCCGGAGCTGAGACCCGACTGGAACGAGGGAGCCAGTCACGCGGCTCTCCCGGGGGAAAGTGTGTCCCAGGCTGGGGTGCTCGGGTGCGAGGCCCCTACGGTGGGCAGGTGCTCACCAGGTTCAAGAGACAGGAGGGCCTCGAGTGACGGGGGCGGACGGACCATGAGGTCAGAGAGGTGGCTTGCGGCCAGGTCCTAAGGAACCTGAGGTCGGCGACTGGAGGAGTGAGTACCATGAGGGCACCCCGGTCAAGGCCTGAGGAAGCGCGAAGGCAAGCAGCAGCTATGGCAGGAAGCAGTCCAATGACAAATGACAGTGGCCCAGGGAAGGTGAGCAGAGGGAGTGAACATGGCATCGGAACCAGGATCCGCTCTGAAAGTGAACGCTCAGAATCTGTTGACCAACTGAATGAAAGATGTCAGGAAAAGAGAAGTCGAGGAGGACTCCAAGGCTCTTGGCCTGAGCAAAGAAGTAGGTGGCGCCATTAACAGGGATGGACAAAACCACAGACAAGCCAGTTTTGAGGGGGAAGATCAGAGATGACTTTGGACATCCGAGTAGAGAGGCTGACCACAGAACTGGTGGCACAAGCCTAGGGTGCAGGGAAGGAACAGGGCGGGAGACTGCACTCTGGGCGGTGACAGCCGCCGCTGACCGCGGGGCGAGTGCAGATGAGGCCGACGCCTGGGCCCTGAGAGTCCAGCACTGGAGGGTCTGGGTGAGCAGGCGCCCCAGCGAGAGCAGCGCCCCCGAGATGCAGAGGCGAGGGCTTCCAGGAAAGGGAGCCGTGAGCACAGCGACGCCACAGAGGGACGGACCCGGAGGGGACTGGGAACCCACTTGGCATCGTGGAGGTCACTGGTGACCTCGAAGAGTGGTTTTAGCGCAGTGATGAGGAACGAAGCCCGAACGCAGAGGGCGAAGAGGGTGAGGGAGAAGCAGAGAGGTGCAGGGAGCCCTGGGCGTTTCGCACAGCGCGGGGGCTCTCAGGCATTCCGCTCTCAGGCTCCCTTTAAAGAAACGGAGGGTCCCAAGGAGCTTTTCTTTACATGGGTTATGTCTTTCAATACTTAGCGTATTAAATATTAAAACTGGTAAAAATTTAAAATATTTCTTAAAAATGATAAAACCACTATGACAAATATTTGTTATAAAAAATAACTGTTTTTCCCCAAACCAACCAACCAACCACACACTTAGCGAGAAGAGCAGCGCTGTTTCACACTGCGTTCAGATCTCCTTAACGTCGGCTAACTAGGGGAGGGCAAAATGTATCTCACGCCGCCTCCTGCCGTCAGTCACCAAACCATACACCAGGCAGCGCCTGAAAGGTGCCAGCGGGCACTCACGAGAACGCAATGAAAAAGGCGAGGAAGCCTCCCCGAGTGTTATGCGACTGCTACGAGGGGACAGGCCTCCTGAGAGGGTCCCGCGACCAGGCCTGGAGCAGCAGACTGCAGGGAAAGCAGAGGAGTCGGGCCAGGGGAGAGGAAGGGGACAGGCGGGAGTGAAGCTCTGCTTTAAGAGGGGGGCTGCTGGCCACGCGGCGGGCGGCTTGGGAGGGCGCCGTCTGGCGACATTTAACGAAGGACACGGCGTGACCCGCCCGCAGCGCCTCACCTCGCTCAAACGGGATGAAGGGCTCCAGCTCGTGCCACGGGGAGGTGCTGTGTCCCTCTTCCGCTCTTACTCGCAGTTTGATTTGCTCATAGACGTTCATCTCGAGCGAAGAGAAGTCGCACTCGGTATCAGTAACGTGCTGACACCCAGGCAGTTCCGTCCAGTTATCCACCGTCCCAGGTCTGAGTGAGGAAGCAAGTGAACAGCTGAGCAAACGGAAAACACAGACGAGCCGGCCGCTCTCTGCTCGCGAACAGAGGCCTGGGGGCCCCGTTACCAACACTGCGGGGCCACTTTACCCAGTTACTCCTGCCCGGGGCACTGGCCTGCTCACGTGTTGTGTAACATCCCACTTCTTCAATGCATTTCTCACCCTGATAATGCCAAGTTATTATCACGGAAGGCATGAACTTTGACATGGTTACTCTGTAATACGGTTCTATAATCTTGTGGGGGGTTGCCTTAGGATTTCAAAGAAGCAAAGAAAGAATTACCCACAAGGTAAAAGTGGACTTTGTTAAAAATAGCCGTGTGACTTCTGGCCAACCACTCTGTATTTCTGGATCTCCTGTTCCTTACTGAGAACCTGGGGACTGGAGCTGGTGGTCCCTTCTGGTCTCCTCCTCTGAGCAGGTCCGTTGGCCGTAAGACCTCAGAACCAATACGGCCTGAGAATCTCCTCTGCCCTCCTCAAAACCCAGACACCCCCTGCCTGCTGATCCCCGCATTCTTTCTATCACATTGCTAGAAACAAAGAACTTAAAGTAACATTCACTACTAAATTCCTCACAGTGGATGTAGTCAACCGAAAAGGTTAAGTGATTAATATCAGATTCTTCCAACGCATGAAGAAATCAATTGTCGCCAGTGCCTCAAACAGAAAGAACCTGTTGCTACAGAGGCGGAGGGAGGCTGAGTGCAGGTGAGGGCAGAAAACAAACATGCGATTTCAAAACGCTTGCCTCGTAAGCCCCGCCTCCCTGAACGCAGGGAAACTATGCTCTGAGAGGCATCTTTGTCACGCTGAATGCACAGCTCTAGCATTAGCTGATTTTTTGGGTGGTATTGTAGACTTCATTTTAAAGATGCTTTATGACAACAGAAACTAGGGGTGATATCCAAATCATTTCGGAGCTGACCAAATTCAATACCTTATTTTTCAAAAAGGAAACCGTTTTAAAAATTACCAGAAATACACACTAGCGTTATTCCTGGCCGGTTACCTCCTCCACTTGACCTACCTAAGCTCTAAGTCTAGAGCTGGTGTTGATGATACCGTAATTCAACATCAACACTCCTGAGGCGCTCCTCTGCAGGAGGCAGCAACCAGTGTTTTACTCTCACATCAATGTTCTTCTCTCTTCCCCCTCCCCAAAAATCAATTAAAAATTTTTTTAAAAAATGTACTAAAGCTGTGAGATTACTAATCTCCATTTTATTGACCACCAACTGGAGAAGGAGCAGAGTGGCCTGGGTGAAGGGCGGATTCTGGTCCGGGAGGCCCTACGCCTGGGTCTTCATCGCCAATCACCTGCTCTTTCTTGGGCAGGGAGCAGGTCAGCCGACAGGCCAACGCCCAGAGCAAAGCACTGCGCTTCCTGAGCTCTGATTCCTCAGGTCCCTGCGATGCTCCAGCTCAGACCCGGGCTTCTAGTCAAAGGAGCGATGCCCCCGGAACAGAGGAGGAGTGGCTGTGGACTGACCTCCTGCCATGACCATCCCCCAAACCCCGTTCGCATCAGTGCCCAAAGGTGAATTCGACTAAGTCTCTATTTGCAGAAACGAAGTTATAAATATTATGTAGACATGAAATTTCTTTAAAAAGTGAAAAAAACAAAATGCTTCACAAATCTGAAAAGAAATGATGAGGTTAAAATGATAAAAGCTCCTCCGGTGATGCCGGCGGGTCAGTGAGCATAGCTGCGTACATTTGGTAATCTGCTGAGAAGGTCACGCTCCCAGCGGAGGCGAGGCTCCCATTCCACCTCAGCGTGAAGGTCTCATCCACGATGTCGACGTCTACATCTTGCGGAGGTTTCAGGCGTGTTCTCCCTGGTAAAGGTGCCAGAAAAGAAAAGTTACAGATACACACACACATATATATATTTTAATTCTCAGCCAAGGATATTTTCCATTGATTTTTGGAGAGAGTGGGAGGGAGGGAGGAGGGGAAGAAAAAGAGAGAGAGAGAGACAGACAGACATCGATTGGTTGCCTCCTGCACTCACCCTGATCAGGGCTGGGGATCGAACCTGTGACCTGCAGGCCAACGCTCTAACCCCTGAGGCAAGCTGGCCAGGGCATACTACAGATATTTAAAAAAATGTCAGTCTTCCCTTCACATCACTGATTAAAGCATGAATACATTTACATATAACAAAGTTAGGTGTATAAAAAAATCTAAGAACACCTAGTGACTGCTCTCAGCACAGGCAGGCTGCTAGTTATTTACATCTCTGCATCTGGGAAAAGACTGAGTTTTTTTAATCTATGAAAAGTGTTATATGTCAATTATGTCCCAATAAAGGTGGGAAAACAAAGGGGGGAAAAGTAGGCATTGTCTTTTAATTGAAAAAAGTATTCTCTGCATAAAAACAGAATCTTTGGACTGGAAGTCACACTGACGTAAAGGATACAGGGTTCAACTGTTCAACAGCCTCCAGTTGGTTTCACATTCTACGTTCAGAGACAGACACTATATGCTTCCTACACCCTGACAGAGAACTGAGCAGATGCGATTGCAAAGCTGATAGCTCGTCGCAGGAAGTGAATAATCCCTGCACAAAATGGAGAGACAGAGGCACGAATGTTTACTATGTCAGCCAGGCCCTACGGGAACTGGAAAATCAAGTCTGGTTTAAGGACTTCCGTCTAGAGGTCTGCTTTCTCTCTTCCACCATCTTTCCCTCCTGGCAACTGCAATCGCATTTCTCCTCTTTTCTGACCACCCAAATCCTGCACGACCCAGCTCAAGTCTGACGGCTTCTAGAAAACCTTCCTCAAGCACCACAGCTCCTGCTGACCTTGAGGCGCCAGCACAGCTCGCTTCCACACCGCAGCGACGAAATATTAGGAAGGCACCGCCTGTCAGCCAGCGGGCTCTCAGAGCTGGGTGAATAAAGTGCCTTTTTAAAAACTGCTTCTTTGTGTTAAACACAAATCTCCAAGGAGCTGTAAGTGCCTGAAGGGCGGGGTCAGGGTAGCTGCCCGTTAATCTGCACCTTTCCGCGTTCTTAGCATAATGCTGGGCTCGCAGGAACTTCCTCAATATCCCTAAGGTGCCGTTTTTCACTGAGATAAACTATTTTTAAACGACCAGCTTTTAAATTTATTTCTGGTTCCTACAATATTCTAGCCTTGACTGCCACCTCAGGGGAAGCACCTTACCTCCCTGCAGAATTTTCCAACCACAAGGGTCGTTGTGTAGAACACTTTCTGTACTGGGACTGCTTCCTCTGCGTTCTAGCTGGAGATACTATGGCATGGAGTCAAAAGGGGGGACACTGGAGAAAACATCTGATTTTTTTTTTTTTTTTAACTTGGGGAGGTACTCACTGAGTGTCCCCCCCTCTATTTTCTGTTTCACACTCATATTCTCCGAGACTTCATCCACGAACAGAGTCAGCCCCCTGTCTCACTCCTCTAAACTTACTTCCCACCCTACTGGTTGGAATTTCATAGATTCCATGCAACTAAAGGGTGGTGACCGGGTTTACAGAGGTTAACAAAAGATCTGACGACATTTGTAGTATCCAGTCTGGAAAATTCTAATTCTACAATTCTGAGCCTTGAGACAGGATGAGAAAATCTGACAGGTGCAACCAGGGATTCCCTTGGGGATGCAATCCTTCTGCTAAAGGAAGGACACCCTGGAGTGAGAGGCATCCGGGCTATATGAGAGATCAACAGCGAACTGACTGACACACGGACAGAGACTTGGAAGTGGAATTATTAGCCAGAATTTTAGATTTCACAGATTTTGTTCTATTAACATTAGCAATATCCTTTAGATAATAGTTTATTTCACCCTTTTAGCATGGAAACTATATAAATGGGCGCTTACACCCAATCCTTTAGCTATACAACTGGTTGCTTCCAACCTTTCACATTTCACATCAACAATCTGGCACAGTAAGTCCGACGTATATCCAAACCACATACATCCATACAAACACAAATCTCCTCCCATATTTTGGATAGTTTTCTTTGGCTAGGGCCCCAGCTGGGCATTCACTAGGTTAAAAGTATGAATACTTGAAAGAGCAACACTGTGATCTCAAGTTAGGGTTAATGTTCCATTTACTTTCGATGGTTAGTATTCCTTTGGGGGGGGGGAAGTAGGTTAATTGAAAGGTGGGCTCTGAGGCCAGATTTCCAGGGTCTGACTTCACACAGCCACTGGCCAGCTGTTCTGGCCTCGGGCCAGCTACCTAACCTCTCAGCTACCTAACCTCTCAGCGCCTTTGTTTGCTCAACTGTCTCATGAGGATACGGGTCCCAGTGGCTATTTTGAAAGCTAAAGGAAGTTCATACCTTTAAAATACCAAGAGCAGTGCCTGGCACATAGTTAGGAGCGCAATAAAACCACATTACAGATCTCAGTGCACATCCCCCTCGAATGTTAATTTTACGTGAAAGCTGGAGAACTTCTTGCATTAAAGCAAACACGAGCTGAACGCAAATTTCCATGAACCAACCCAAGGCTTCGAAGGAATCGCGGGGGCTGCGCCGAGACCCCGCCGCCGCCTCG